TTTCTGATAACGCAGATGACCAAACTATCATTGGTAACCTCAACGACACTTACAAGAACCAAAAAGATTTGTATAACTACGACACAAACACGTGTACTTTTTCCTGTTACTACTTTAAAACGGTAGGTGACCATTTAAATACGTGTTTTTTTTAAATTACCAGAAACAAACACTTTCAGAATTGCTCGTTCCCCATTAACTGCATTCAATTAAAGATATTAAAAGTGATCGTTTGTTAAATTATTGAGAAATTAGGGGACAATGTAACACATTTGACGCTATCACAGACAATCTATCACATTTATACGACTTGAGTGATGTTTGTGAAGTTACGATCAAATGACATGGCAAACCCACAAAGACATTGTACCTGGAATGTCGATACCAGGCTTTTTTCGTAGTCACGTTCGATCACGGCTAGACAAGAGGCATCCAGCAACAAAGAAAGCAATTTTCTTAGACCCCTTCCATGCAGACATTCTGTAAGTCATTTACTGACCTGTGCATTCCTTTGTAGATGGTGTGGTCGCAAACGACTGCAGTAGGATGCACCATTGAAGACTGCCAAAACAGTGGAATTTTACGCACTGCCTGCATATATAAACCGGGGTAAACCAGCATATTTGCGATTTGTGACAAGTAGAGATTTGTAAATGCATTTAATACCAATTGCAAATAGCGTGAAAAACACTTTTCACGAACTTCACTTAAATAAACTGTAAACCTTGCGTAATTGCATTTTTCAAATTGACTTATCATCGTTGCATTAATTTTGCAGTAATGTTGTCTTGAAATCGCATTTTTGCAGTAAATTCGACCCACCAGACCGGCCATATGAGAAGGGCCAAAGCTGCACGAAATGCCCTACCGGATCTGCTTGTTACCGGAATCAATGCGAGAATTCGTTAATCACAGTTCCCACGAACTCTTCTGCGACAAATACTTCGACACTTCAAATCCTGCCTTCACTTTTTCTCATACTTTGAAGCTTTGTCTAATTTTGTCCACTTATGCTGATACTTCGAAGCTTTGTCTAATTTTGACCACATCTTTTCCTTAATTTGCATTACTTATTCACTTAAACAGGCATCAGAAATTCACGCAGACGATACTCGCCTCAATGTCTGTCAACATGGTATTTCATCGAAAGATATTTCAACTTGATAACTGAGTACGTGTGACACGACCTGTCCACTACTGCAGCAGTCAAATGCCATTGTAACGCTAATGTGGACATTGTTTGTAATCGCTTCAAAAGTGTTCGAGTGTTTAATATTAAGCTGCGTCGAATATGGGGGAATCAAGTAGTATTTGAAATCCCACAGACACGGGTAACCGGTTTGTTCGAAAAGGAAACAATTGTCTTTACAATATCATAATCCACAGGATTCCGTGTTGAGTGCAGAAGGACATTGACGATACTACAACCACAACCTGTCTACTTGCTGACCGGACACTTTTTAAACAGTTAACCTCGTGCAGCTGTTTCAGTGTTTGCTGTGAGGGTGACTGCCTTTGAATCGGTAAGCGTACGTGAAGGGGACAGGGGTCGAGTGTGTGAAGGGTTGAGCTTCTCTGTTAAAAAACCGCCACTTGGTTATGAGGCAGAGCATGAGAAAACTGAGATCTGGTTACATCAAAATCAAATATTTTATTCGAATTCTCTTCCCTGTATTTGGTCTCTACTCTTTAGTTTGAGGCCACATGTAGAGACGCTGGGCAATTATGCGACCTCGAAATCTAGCGTGACACACAACTCTGTTAAATTTATCCTGAATTTCGCTAGCCGTGTGTTTTACGACGTGGACATCACCATGACTGAGGTAGCATTGAAAATGAGGATATTTGACGGTTGTTTAATTGGTTGCTTTGTTCGTTTTTGAATTTGTAAGTCACCTCATAAATGGGTTTCATTACCGACTGCTATTCTGAAAACGTCTTTGATTTTATCGTCATGTTTTTCTTACGTTTGATCTACTCCGATTTGTACTTGAACATGGCGCCAACAAGTATGAGCCTTTGTCTGCATAGACCAATAAATCGCATTTATGGAAATGACGGACATAAGGAGTTGAAGAATGATGAGTAGGGGATGAGTTTGCACTATCACAAAACCCTATGGATAACAGCCGGTCACAACGCGAGAAGTATGAAGACAAAGAGTAGAAAGAGAACACGACTGTTTATATTCGCATCACGCCAGTCGATTGATTGTGGTCGCTCACGCGTTCGGTTACGATTGCTAACTGTGCTGGCGTGCTGCTTGCCACAGATGAAATAGGACAAGGTGCTTAATAATTATTTGACGCATTAGCAAGCGGATATGCAAAATGTTGATTAGCTGGTGTGCTGCGGTCCTCATTGTTGATTGCAATGCAATTGGAAAGAAACGAGCAAATGAACTGCCGTTTGACACATTTGAGAATATGGGAATTCGAACGATGATGCATTGGCGTATGTTTGGTGGTGTTTACTTCATTTAGGCAACGGCGAAAACGAGTCTGCTGTTTCATTCAATTCGTGTCAAAATCAACAGACTTTTCTACACCCACGCTACAATTTGGTGCAATGAAAGGTCAAATAATTTGTGGTCAACAACGGTGTGGAGCAGAATTTCCCTTAAGCACAACATGCACACGACGCTCCTACGCAGTTTGCCTTCACGTACATTAACAACACGTGATTCAAGGCAACATTGTCGGTGTCAAGTAGCTTGAAATATCATTGCCGTTTCAGGCTTTGGGTTGGGTAATCAGTGGTTTAAATTAGTTAAAAAAAATATCACGAAAAACGTGACAGTAGTGTTAAAAGTAGTTTTGGCGATCAACTGCAATAACACCATTAATGCCACTTATTCTTTTCAGTTTGCCTTAAATCCACAAGCGACACCCCAGCCCTTTCTTTTCAACGGACAACAGAGGCAAAGATTCTTAAATGCCTGCTGACGTTGTCATGGCATTCATCCGATGTCCAATTAAGTGAATCCATAGACATTTCCCGGGATTAGGACTACTGCATATGAAGAGGCATTGGCAACTCAGCGACGACGACTTGGACAGTGAAAGCCAGCTGGACTGCAACTGCGAAGGACCTTCAATGGATGATGAGTCTTCCCTGCAAGTCTAAAAGAGCAAAGTCCCTAGTCAACGTTTCGCTTGAGGCACTATCCTGCCAGATGTGGGGTGCGGGGAGTGTCGAACTGGATTTTTTTTTCAACACTGGATATCAACAACAGTGCGGTGAACCAAGCCAGAAGCTGAGGACAGCTTCACTGCTGAAGGGGAGGCAGTGTGGCGACGAAATAGGGCGCAGACATGTTGGACCACCTGGCCGCAGCCAATCCTGTGTCTCTCTGTGTTCCAATGGCATGCGAGGAAGATAAGCAGCCAACCAGAGAAGGACAAAACTGAGGTGCAGTATATAATGAGCGGCGTGGCCGGCGTGGGGGACTCGGATGGAAGGCGCCTGGCGCGTGACTCTGGCTTCTGATTGGTCAATAAAGCCTGTTCCTATTAGGGCTCGGGTATTCTACACCACATCACAGCATCACACTACATTCGTTATCACATACGTGATGCAAGCGACCTCTGTTAATTAATGGTTTAGTAGCCTGCAAGTACATGACATTTAGCGTTTTTTTTAAATTTTAAAAAAATTGTTACTGGTATTTGGATTCATTTTATTGAGCTTTTTTCCAAAACAATACACTGTGGAGTAAAACGCTTGAAAATTCTGTTGTACTTGTTTTAAAGCCAATGTTGTACATTTAGTAGCAAAACAGTGTTAATTTAAGAGTGTTTAGAAAAATAGCGCATTGATCAGGAACTTTCCTCATTTTCTATGTTAATTTAGTGAAATGTCTGCTGAGAAATTGTTTGCTATTCATCGCTAAGTTGGTCAACTTTTAAAACTTTGGTTTACGTCAAGTATCATTGGATCTACAGCCTTAAACTGTGATTGAACTTATGTTATGACTGGTTGACTGTAACACTGTTCTACATTTTAGCGTTCAGAGTTATGTTCGCCTACTACTGATTCAGTTGGAGATGTTGCCATTGGCGGTTGCCAAATTCACGAGTTCGATTGTCACTGCACCTTCCATGTGTAATCACCTCTGTGACACGCCAAGGCAATTCACATTGCCAGTTTTCTTCACGCATTTTGTTAGTGTGATGCCGCAAGCATAGTAACCGCCACGCCAGGTTAGGTTATTAAATTAAACGAAGGTATCATGTTGACATTTACATAAACCGAGGATATTTTGAGTTTAATTTATTTGTCCCCAAACTTATTAAAATACCATGGCTTATCAGAAGTAAAATGTTTAGTTAAATGTACTAAGTGATTGGCAAGGTTATAAAAGCAGCGTCGTTTAAGGGAATATCCATGAGTTTATATAATCCTTGGAGCTTGTGTGATGGAGACACGAGAACGTTGTTCACTGCGACGGCAGAAGTTTTGCAAGAGCCTTTTCAGCGTCTCCGAGCAGCGGACTCGCGTCAGTCCAGTTGTGCTCCATCTGCAGCCAATCCGTCGCCTTCTGCACCATCATCTCCCACTCCTCGCGTCGGTCAGGCATTCGCACTTGCAAGTACGCAATCACCAGAGCCGTTGCCCACATCCGATCGTCCTTCACTGCAACACAACCAATCGTCCGTTTACTGTTGAATGTGGGTGCACATCGAACCGCATTCGGCAGATGCATTTTAAAACAGATTTCAAATATAAAAGCAACCAAATTATTTCCTGCAACTTTGTCGCTTTTTTCAGGTTTCTGACAACATGATTTCGTTACCGAGAAGTCAAATTGGCATTCAGTTTTGTGAAATTTCCTTATTTGGCATATTGACTGAAAAGAAGTATTCGATTTGTAGGTCCACATCATTTATGAAGTCTTATTTGACACCCACATTTCCGCAGAGGAACGCTTTCTAGCGAAGGACTCTGTAGGTGCATTTTACACACACCACTGATCCGGTCGCCCAAGTAACCCACCTTCTGAGGGCCTCGTGGAGCTCATTTGGCCAGTAGTTAAATTGAGCAGCTCTGAGAGCTTTTTGTCCATATTCCAGAAACCACCGAAGTCCTGCAACTCGGCCAATCGCACGACGGTGTCTGTCGTTTGAGTGACCTCTTCTTCTAGAAAGTAAAACAGATAAGGGTAGAACTTAAAACATTTCTTTTAATAGATCAAGGGGAAGCGTTAATTTCACATTGGTCAATCTGACTCAAGATCGTTGACGCATAAAGTGACGACAAAATTGGTGTGTAATCATTATTACCTTCACTTTCTTTCTCCAAGCTCTCTTACTGACACTTGTCAGTAGCTCTAACTTTTAGTGATCGGTGCCGTGGTTTCTAGTTGCTGATTGATCAAGCTCCACCTTGGTGGTTGGTCGTGTCAAACCAATAATCTTTTAGAGGTCCATCACGTGTTGGTGCGATTTGAATGTTTACTTTCAAACCTTAGTAATAAATCAGGACAAGGGGCGTTTGCTTCACATTTCACGAATGAATCGAGATCAGGAAACGCACCTGCAGCAGCGCACTTATGGAAGGCGGTGGCTGAAACAAGAAGAACATCGAGACTGAGGCGTGTTTACCAAAGGCGGTCATTTCGCTACAGCTAAATGTTGTAATCTGGACATGCGAGGCATTTGAGATGAATGGCAAAGCAGGATGTCTACCTATTCGATTGCGTTTCACGTGACCACCAGCTAAAATAATAAAATCATTCAGTTGAAATGAATGCATGAAGGTGTCTTGCCAACTTAACCACAGCATTTAGCGTGTAATCGCCTAATGCAATTTTGGTCTTGACGCCTGTTAGACAACTCGGTAAATTTGGTCATTTCCCGATTTGTTTTACTGGACTTGCGTGCTCGAAGGGTGGTAGCTTGAATCTGGGTCACCCGGTGAGCGGTGTTCCACGCTTTGCAGCCCACTCGTTGTCGCATGTGTATCATTAGTTTT